TGGCGCCACTGCGTTCCAACAGACCAGAGAAGCTAAGTGAGGCCACACTACTCACTGAGCCAGGTCTAGAGCTATTTGCTGACTCACTGTTCTTTCTTCAAATAAAGCAGGATCAACAGGCTTTCAAGTAAATATTCTATGAAACAGTTCACCCTAAGTTAAGAAAGAGTGAGGGATATTCTGTTCAAGCCTGAGTAGCAAACTTAGTATAAATAAAATAGGGAAGCCAAGTGCAAAACAGCATCCAGTCTCAGGAGCATCAATTCATTCTGCCAGCAGGTAGGCATTCTGGTGTCCAGAGCTTCCCATACCCCACTCTAGGGGCCTAATGTAAGATGAACTTGAAATGTGGATTCATGGTTCAGAAATGAGGGATTGAGGAGATAAACCTTTAATCCTCCTCCCTTTCTTTGAAAAAAAAAAAAAATTCCAAAAAACAGAGGGACACCAGGAACTCTTCTTTAAGCTCTGAGGAATGCTGGGCTCAGGTGTGATTCACTCTTTGGTCTCACATCATATTTGTCTGCATCTCTAGCTATTTGTACAGCACTGGTTAATAAATTATGTTCATACAGCTAAACAATTTAATCTCTTCTTGATGGTTTAGTTAAGGAAACAGAAAAATCACCAGGACAAGTCAGAAATATTTCCATGAAAAACACTTACTACACAGAACATTTGTTGAAGCCACTGAATCACCAAGGTTTTACCGTACTGAACATAGCATGCTTCCTAAGTGGGTTCCAAATGTGGCCTTGGGTGCTTAGCACAGCATTTGCCCTTGCCTGCTTCTGTAATGGATATTTGTGGATATTTATAGGCTAAGTCTAAGCAACGGCACTCACAGTACTGACTGTGATGCCAGACTAATAAACACGAGAGCTGTGGCTACAGCTGCATGTTTAAAACCTTATTCGACAGGAAGACCAGGCATGGTGGCTCACGCCTGTAATCCCAGCACTTTGGGAGGCCGAGGCAGGCAGATCACCTGTGGTCAGAAGTTTGAGACCAGCCTGGTCAACATGGCGAAACCCAGTTTCTACTAAAAATACAAAAATTAGCCAGGTGCGGTAGTACACACCTATAATCCCAGTTTCTCAGAAGGCTGAGGCAGGAGAATTGCTTGAACCCAGGAGGCGGAGGTTGCAATGAGTCGAGATTGCGTCTCTGCACTCCAGCCTGGGCGCAGAGCAAGACTCCGTCTCAAAAAAAAAAAAAGATATTTACAATGATGTGACGTGCATACCTAACATATGCAAAAAGGCTATCCAGTGAACAAAGCCACAGCAACATCGTGTGTAAAAACAGTATCCAATCAACTGACCTTTTTTAAAGTCAAAAAGAAACAAAGGGAAATAAAATGTTAGGAAAATGAATTAACCTCCTCTATTGCTGTTCTCCAGTATAATATTTTTCTCCTACAGTTACCATGCCTTAGGAACCCAGTTTCTAGATATTCTGAAGCATTTCTACTGTACAAACATTGCCCTGGAGCTTTGGATGAAAGATGCTATCTGCCTGCAGCATTAAAATGCAGGTTTACCCGAAAGGAATTCTCACCATTCACAAAATAAGGGCAGAACTAAGGCGCTTATGCTTCAATGAACTACCACACTGCATTAAAAACCCAAGACAACAAAAAGCCCTAAGGAAGCTCTTTTCTTTCTAGAATAAAACTAGGGAAAACCGAAGAGTTCTTTATTTTGGCGTAAGAAATAATTAAAACAAAGAAAATTTGTTTTCTGATTGAAGTAATACAGTTTTGTTTTGTCTTGCTTTAGTGGGACATAGGGAAGTCGGAGGAAGAGTTCCCTGAATAATGACAGTGTTATTCCCTAGAAATGATCTGGAAGACACTGGGTAACCTGATTCTTAAAGAGTCTGGTTAATGTCTTGACTCCTAACGTGACATTATTTTCAATTGGTCCCACTTGGCAGTTAGGGAGAAATTTCTCCTTTACATCAAGATGAATGTCAAAGGAAAGGGTAATCTCAAGCGTATGCGCTAACACTTTAATAAGCAAATAGTTACGATTTAAAATCCCCAAAGAAAAAGAACATTTTATATTAAGGACTCAGTAAGTGGGAGTTTTACTTCTCATTCCCAAGGAGCTCCCTATTTCTTACTCTGGTTCTAAAAAGAGCCCTGCAAAGCCAACATGGTCACTGACGCCTATAGTGAGAAAATGTGTAGAGTCTTACCGCTCCTCTTCGTTAAGGTCTTTAGTAAAATTTCAAAGTCAATTTTACCAACAGCAAAAATTACCCTGCAGCCTACAACATTTAATGGAAAGATTTCTCACTCCTTCTCCCTTTGCTAGGTATTGCAGAACTTCACCACTTTCCACTTACATGTTCTGAAGGAAGAAACAAGAATATTATTTTTGTTTCTTTTTTTTTTTTGAGATGGAGTCTCGCTCTGTTGCCCAGGCTGGAGTGCAGTGGCGCAATCTTAGCTCACTGTAACCTCCGCCTCCTGGATTCAGGGGATTCTCCTGCCTCAGCCTCGATCAGGAGATCGAGACCATCCTGGCTAACATGGTGAAACCCCGTCTCTACTAAAAAATACAAAAAACTAGCCAGGCGAGGTGGCGGGCGCCTGTAGTC